CAGACAGAACAGGGAAATGAATACAGCACAGTCAAGAGCTGAAGGTACTGGGGGACAGTGGGACAGTGTTCTGGAGAAAGGGATGAGGAAACACTTCAAAGGAGGAGTTTTAAAATACTTCAAAATGAACAGTTTTTAATTAGGTGGAAAATGAGGAAGACAAAATGAAAATAAGAAAAAGTAATAACTCCTACCTGCCTTCAACTCTCAGTCCTAAATCAAGAGAACAAAGAGCTGGAATTCAAAGCAGAAGCATTCAGAGGCTTGATGACAGAAAACCAAGAGGAAAGCTCCCACTGTCTTGCTATAAACAAGGTTGTAAAAAGAGCTGAGTTTAAGGATGCTTTTCCTCTGATATGGTTTGGATCTGAAATGTTTCCCAAAAGCCTTACGTGTGTGGAAAGTGAAAGATTAGGGAGGCACTATATGCATCAGTGGATTCATCCAGTGATTAGCTCAGTAGCTAAATGTACTGCTAGGAATGGGGCCTGGATACAAGTGGGTCCTGGGGGTGTGACTCAGAAGGATGTAGCTCCTTCCCTGGCTCCTCCCTTCTCTCCCAGCTTCCTGGCCACCCTGACTTGAGCAGCCCTTCTCCACAGCATGCCATTTCTCCTTTTGAGCCTGCCAACCATGGGCTAAACCCAATGAAAGTGTGAGTGAAAATAAACCTTTCCTCTTTTCAGTTGTGGGTGTCTAGAATTGTGTCTCAGCAATGAGGAAAGTGACTAAGACATCTTCCAACCAAAAACACATTTAAAGGTGAAGTTAAAAAAGGTAAAGATATAAAGAAGAGTAGTGAACATGTCTATAAAATGTTGAAAGCAAATTCCATAAGGCTAAGTCATACCCAGAGAGTCTGCAATTTCAAATGTAGGTGGGTAAATGTGTTAGTAACTTTTCTCTCACTGCTGAGACTAAATATCTGACACCCAAAGTTAAAGGAGGAAAAGTTTATTTGGCTTACAGTTCATAGGCTCCATGGCAGGGTGGCAGAGGGTGGCAACAGTTCATAGCAGTGGAAGACAACAAAGGCAACAAGAGACCTTAATAGCATCTTTCTGCCCCTTTTACTTTACTCAGACTGCAGGATTAGGGCAGTGCAAAACCAATTACTCACACGTACTGGTTTAGTAATCACACGCCCCTAATCCCAGCATCACACACTCTAGATTCATCTACCTCCAAAATAAAACCTGTCATCTGCATGAGGCTTTGGGGGGGAACATCTAAACACAAGCCATAGCAGTAAATAAAAAATGATCAAGCTATGATACATACATGTACCCTAATTCTCCAAAGCAAATGTAACTTGTGGCAAATATACACTAATAAAAAAAAAAACCTTAAAATTTCAAAACAAAATGGAAAGTTCCTCCCCAAGACATAGTTTATAAATGAAAACATTTAAATTTTGTGGATTTCATGGTTCCAAGAAAGAAGTAATCAATAAATGACACTACTATATACTTAAGAAAGAAGCTGCAAGGGAGGATAACACAACACTGTAGCTAGACAATATATTAAAAGTAGCCTAAAAGTTATCAAGATAATTACTAAATATATAGAGTATATTTTCCAATATGGACAAGATCTCATTATAATAGTTTATTCAGCAACATAAAATTTCAAGTGAGATAAGAAACTTGGGAGTATAAGTAACATTCCTCTATAACATGGATAAGTTATTATTTTATTTAACTATTAGTTTGCAGTACTAGAGATTGAATCCAAGGCCTTCACACTGTGCTACATTGCCAGCTCTCTTTTTTTATTTTGATACAGGGTCTTCCTAAGTCTCTAAGTTGCCCAGGCGGAAGTCAAACTTGGAATTCTCCTGCCTCAACCTCCTGAAGTGCTGGGATTACAGATGTGTGCTTTGACACCTGGTTAGTATTCTTCATTTTTAAAGTTTAATTAGTACTTTTAGATTAAAATGAATAATTAAGGGCCAGGGATTTAGCTCAGTGGTTTCGCCACCTGCTGCGCAAGCACAAGGACCCGAGTTAGATCCCCGGTACCAAACAAATAAAAATAAAATAAAATGAATAATTAAGAGTTCTTAAAGGGGAAATAAACAAGATTTGGATCAATTAACCATTATAAAACAAGATGAAAGTTGTAATATTTGCAACAGTACAAAAAATTAAATCTTCCCAAAAATTAAAGAAGTAATTAAAAATAAACCCAAGATCAGAGAGATTTCACCTGACCATGAACCACATTGAAAGAATGTTGAACTTGTTTTAAAAACGTGAAAAACTTTATTCTGTGCTAATAAAAATCAAAAAAGTTTGGTAGCCCCCACTTTCTTACACAGTACTAAAGACTGAGCCCTGGTGTCCTCTGCCACTGAGCTAGAACCCCAGCCCCGCCCAGGTTTCCGCTTGTGAGCTCCCTGCTTCCTCTGGCATCACAGGCACACCTCACCAGGCCCAGCTAATTATCTTCTTTCAAAAACAAGCAACACAGTAATTCTAAACTATCAGCGCCTTTAGAAGTCCTAAAAATTGAAAAACACACATAACACATACAAATAACTGATAAAAATATAGTATATATAATGTCAGTTGATAAGTAACCCTGAGTCAAAACTGTAAATAGGTATATTTTACAAAATGACATGCATGCACACACACAGATTTTTATTTAATAGCTTGACTGGGCTCAGGGATTAAATTATATTGCCCCGAATAGAAGTAACCAAAACTAAATATTCAAATCAGTTCAAACAATAGATTACCAAGAAGGTAAATTGCTTCCTAACAACTAACTAAACTAAGTATTCTAGCCAATTTATCAGAGCAGATTACTAGGACGCTTACACTCAGGAATACATTCGAAGCAGCAATGCTGATGGTCTTCTGTAATGCACAAATGGACTAGTACTACTTGTAATCACTGAGTTAACGTGTATTGAACGTTTAAAATGTGCCATGTACTATCTTAGATGCTTCACCTATACTAATTTATTAGATTCTCCAGAAACCTATATGGCAGGCACTATTACTGTTTTTATTTTATAAATGAAGAGACTGAGGTCCCTAAGGTCACATATCCTGTGGAGATCATACACGCCTGATTCTAGAGGCAACTTTTGTAATAACTTTGTTCTACTGCCTCTCTGGAATCAGTTATCCTTGAATACCCCTGGCTGACATAAAGGCTGTGCTCTTCAGTTTGGAAACTTGGGTCTTCAACAATCACTATCTGTATTTCATAACCTTGAAAACAATTACATAACAGCTCTAGTCTTCCTTGCAAGTACTCACAGGCCCCCACAAAACACTGGCAGGTCTGTCAGTGTGGATTTTAAAGTGAAACTCTGCTGTTTAACAGCTGACTCCTAAGGCTGCCCTACCCTGCTCTCTCACCCTACTGCACTGGGAAAGAGCTCTGTGGACTGCAGAGCTAGGCAGAGCATTCTCTAGGGACAAGTACTCATCATAAAGCTCACATTCCAAATAATAACTCTTATTTCAAGTAGCCTGATTTCAGGAAAAAACAAACTATATTCAAATATAATTTTAAATAGTGTAAATTACTTAATAATTGTTATTTATATTCTTACATTTTAATAATTCAGTATCTTGCCATGTACCTATTACCTACCTACAGAAAACCAGTGAACTGCAGCCATTGATTTGGAAATTCTGCTCCAAGCTACACAGCTCCTACCACAAATAACCTGCTATTCCATAATATTTCTGGAGAACTGAACTGTCCAGGGATTCCATGTTTCATCCTTAATTTATAACGAACTATTAAAAAGGCTATACACAGGCTGGGGATTTAGCTCAGTGGTTCTGCCACCTGCCTCGCAAGCACAAGGCCCTGAGTTTGATCCCTGGTACCAAAAAAAAAAAAAGCTTGACTTTATAGCCTGAGAATCTCTATTCTACTCCTTTGGCCCCTAGCCTCACTGTACCAGTGGAAATTCCTGGTTTTTTCTGATTCTGAAGTATGCATGCATATCACTGAAGTTTGACCACATACACTTGGCCCTCCACATATTTGGGTTCTGCATCTGTGATTCAATCAAGTACAGGTCAAAAATATTAGAGGGGGGGAAAACTACATCTCTACTAAAGACGGACAGACTTTTCCTCCCTTCTCATTATTCCCTAAACAAGAGTATAACAACTATTTGCATAGTATTTGCATTGTGTTCATATTATAAGTAATCTAGGGAGGATTCAGGGCACAGAAAAGAAAGAATATGCACAGGCTGTACACCAGTGCTACCATGACACTACCTATAGAAGCCACTTGGCCATCGCTGCTGCTGGGGACCCTGAAACCAACCCTGTGTGGATACCAGGGATGACTATGCATTTAGCACTTTATACTGACTAAAAGCACATTCAAAAGTAGGTAATTTCACTACAAATTACAAAATACAAACAGTAAAAGTAACTGTTTTTAAGTTTGTGACCAATTTTTAAAGACTGGACAGTAAGATTCTGAGGACTTAAGTCTGTCACACCAGAAAAACATCCAACTTAAAATTACGAAGTTATCCCTAATGAAGCTAAACTGCTCCATACAAGTCTAAATGCTCGTAGGAACACATGGTTGCTCATGCACTATCTTCCAGCTACTGCCCAAATAACAAGAACACCTCTGAACAGAAGGGAAATCCTCCAAGTCAGTTTTCAGGTTAGAGTTGATTTTTTTTCTTTATCTTTACTAAGGCTCCCTCTACTGACAGGAAAATAAAACTATGGAGTTAAAATGGCAAATTTCATCAACACAAGATAAAACATTGCTCAATTACTTCCAAATCAGTATTTCAGATAAAAATATAATACTCTGTAGTAAAATAAAACTGACTTTACTATAAAAGCAAAAATAAAATAACACCTACAAATTAACAAGTAACAATTTTTATAGGTAACATTTCAGTGCATTTATTTTCAACACTAATTCTCAGATGCATGTATTAGATATTTTAAATCATATCAAGTATTTTAATAATTTCTTGTTGCGGCAATGTTTACCTGTATCTGTTCTGGTGTCCATTGGTCTAGGTTGACTGACTTGACCCTGGATATATGAACCCCAAGATTTCTATGAATTCCAGCACATCTGATGCAAATAAACACACCAATATTCCAGGAAGCCCATCGGGGACCTAATTAAGGAAAAAAGAAAAAGAAGTATTAATGTTGAGTGAAATAAATCAGACACACATGCTTACCTATCTTACGGCATCTCTCATTTGAGGCAAAGTACAAAGAAAAACGATAAAAGATGGATAGAAAGGGACAAGGGGGCAGATCTCATCTAATAGGGAAGTGGTCCCAGGGAATGAGGAGTGGGGAAAGGGGCAGGGGAAGGGGAAATGAGAGAAATAAAGATGTGCTGTGTACAGCATCCTAATAACTCCAATCAGTGTAAACATTCTATGCCATAACATGAGCTAAGACAAATAATATCAACAAGTAAGGAAAAGGTGACAGGAGAACCAGAAGAGAGAGAAAGGGGGAAGAAGAGGAAGGTGACTAGAAAAAAACCAAGTTGTGATATGTATACGTAACCACTCCCCAAGATGACTGTAAACTGTATGAATTGGAAACGTACTAATAAAATAAATAACACTGTAAAAAACATTTTAAAAAGATTAATCCAGCTATTCAGCAGCAGAAGTAGTGCCCTTTGTGTGTGCAGATGGCCTTTCTTTCTGCTAATCAGATGGAGTAGGTCCAGGTGTTGCATAAAGAAAATGTTTTCTACTTTGGTGGACACGAGCAATAAAACAAGCTATGTGCATGAATTCAGAAAGAAAGAAGAAAAAGAAGTATTCAAACTAAAGTAAACACCAGGACAGCATATTATAAGCATTCTGGTTTTCATACAATTATAATGGAAGCTACCACGAGCAGCTTGCCACATAAGACGACATGTCTTAGTTGCACTGAAAGTGTAGAAAGAAGCCTTCTAGAACCTTAATCACTTTACTGAGTTTGCTTTCTTAAAAGATTTCCCCTAAATCTAAGACTTTAAAACTAATTTATGTGAACAGGTGTTTTACTCAGAACCAGCAGCAGTATAAACCATAGTAAAAAGTTCTTTATTAAGTATGTAAGATGTTGTTTAAAACTGTTCAACAGATAAAAATCAAAAAATACTTTTTTAGATAGGAGGAGTCTCGCTCTGTTACCCTAGCTGGCCTTGACCTCATGATCCTCCTACATCAGCCTTCCAAGTAGCTGGGATTACAAAGGCATGAAAGATATTTTTTAAAATAAGACATGTACAGTGGCTCTGCCCTGCCTCACAAGTGCAAGGTCATGAGTTAGATTCCCGGTACGGAAAAAAAAAAAAAAAAAAGACGTGGCTGAGGGTGTAGTTCAGCCATAAAAGTGCTTTCTTAGCAGGTGTCAGACCTTGAGTTCAATCCCCAGGACCACATACATACATATATACACAAACAATATATACACAAATACAGGCCTATTATGACACTGAATTCATAAATGAGGCATAGTAAGAGATTAACAACATAAGATATAACAATATGGTCTCTCACTGTTATCTTACTGTACTATACTCACCCTTCTTGTGGTGATGTGAGATAATAGTAAAGGAAATACTTTACAGCTTCTCTTTGGCCTATCCAAAGTGCCAACACCAGTATGTGCTTAGGGGCCATTGTAAGTCAAATACAGGTTACTTGAAAACAAGCACTGCGATACCACAACAGTGAGACAATAACGAAGATGGCCACTAAATACCCAACAGGCAGGTAGCATACATGCCAGGGATAGTCTGGACAAAGGGATGAGTCACATTCTGGGCACGATAGTGAGATGGCATGAAATTTCATCACACTACTCAGAATAATGCACACTGCAAAACTTTATTTCTGGATATTTCCACTTAGTATTTTCAAATCACAATTGACTGGGAAACAAACTACAGAAAATGAAACCGTGGATAAGGGAGAACTATATTCTTTTTAGATTTTTTTATTAGTATATGTGGTGATACCTAGTGACTACATTCAGCTTGGAGGTTTGACACATACACATACAGCATCTCCATCATTTGTACTCCCCCTGCCCCTCTCTGCTCTCCTTTCTCCCTTCTTCCTAATCCTCTTGCCATCTCCAGAGTCTATTTTCCTGTTTCTTAACATGGCTCTTTTATTCTGCTCTTTAAAATATTTATATTTTAGGATTCATACTACTAGAAAAACTCTAATATTTAACCTTTTGTGAATGATTTATTTCACTTAGTATTACAGTCTCAAGATACATCCATTTTTTTAAAAAAATGACTCAAATTTATTCCTCTTTATGATTAAGCAGTGCTTCACTATGCATGCATAACACATTTACCTATTCACTTATTGGTGGACAAATAGGTCACTTTCATGATTTAGCTAGTGAGTTGTGCTGCTATAACATGGGTAGGCATGTATCACTACAGAATCACTTTAGCTCTTTTGGGAAAATACCCAGGAGAGGTATTATTTTAGCTTTTTGAGGAATCTCCATCCATACTGATTTCCAAAGGATGTATTTTCCACTCTCAGCAACAATGTAGAAGGATTGTTTTTCCCCACAACTTCCCCAGCATTTGCTTTTTGAATCCTTGATGAACCCCATCCCTACTGAAATAAGAAACTTATTCTAGTGTTGTTTTAATTTGCATTTCTGTAATGGCCAAGGATGCTGAACATTTTTTCATGTAATTATTCACCATTTGTATTTCTTATTCTGTGAAATGTCTATTCATTTCAACTGCTCATTTTTTAATTAGGTCTTTTATTTGGGGGGGGTCTAACTTTTGAGTTCTTTTTATATATTTTAGACACAGTTCTGTCTGAGGAGTTGCTGGTTAAAAAAAAAATCGTCCCATTATGTAGGATTATCTTTTTATTCTATTGGTTGTTTCCTTTGCTGTGCAGAAGCTTTTTAATTTGATATAATCCCATTTACTGATTCTTGGTATTATTTCTTATATAACTGGGGTTCCATTCAGGAACCCTTTGCCTATGCCTATATCTTCAAGAGTTTTATCAATTTTTTCTTCCAGCAGATTCAGTGCTATTTTTATATATGTCTGTGATCCGTTTTGATTTGATTTTAGTACAGTGTGAGAGATATGGATCAAGATTCATACTTCTCTATGTGGATAACCAGTTCTCCCAGCACCATTTGTTAAAGAGGCTATATTTTCTTAGCATATATTATTGGAATCCTGGTCAAAAATCAGGTGGCTAAATGTGCTTGAGGTTGTTTCTGCAGCCTCAATTCTATTCCATTAGTCAATATGCCTGTTTTTGTGCCAGTACTGTTACTTGTTGCTGAGACAAAATACCCGATGCCCAAAGTTAAGGGAGGAAAGGTTTATTTGGCTCACAATCTGTACAGGTTTTAGTCCATAATCGGCTGGCTCCAAGGCAGGGTGGCATGGCAGACAGGCGTTCCAGAGGAAAAACAGTTCATGGTAGGCAGAACGCAGCAAAGGAAGCAAGGGATGACCACAGCTCTTTCTATCCCTTTCATCTTATCCAGGCTACTTAGGGCTGGTAGTACTCACACCCTTAATCCTAGCACCCCTGATCCTAGCACTGCACCATGAATAAATTCCAGTGTCACACACTCTAGAGATCCAGCCACCTCTGAAAAAATCCCACCACATGAGACTTTGGGGGGACATCTAAGCATAAGCCATAACAAGTACCATGCTGTTTCTACTACTGTAACTCTGTAATACAACCTGAAGTCTAAGATTGTATCTCATGCCTTGCTCCTGATTACTTTTGACTATTCTGGGTCTCTTCTGGTTCCTTATAATGTTTTCCATTTTTTTTCTAGTTCTGTGAAATAATCTGATGGTATTTTGATGGAGATTGCATTAAATGTTTCATTTTTTATAATATGACTACTTTGATACCAGTTCTGCCTATCCAAGAAAAGGCAGTATTTTTCCATTTTCTAATATCTTTTTTATCTCTTTTTAGACCAATGTAGTTTTCATTACAGTGGTCTTTAACTTTCTTGGTTAGGTTGATTCCTAGATACCTCCCCCCCTTTTTTTTAAGGTTACTGTGAATGGGACTGTTTTTTTGATTTCTTTCTCAGAGGGTTCATTCTTGGGGTATAGTAACACTATTGTTTTTTGCATATTTTGTATCCTACCACTTTGCTGAATTTATTAGTCTAACAGTTTTCTGGTGATTATTTACCTTTCTTATCTGTTTCACATATGTATCCAGGGACTGATAAGTGTGGTGACCATAAGAGTGGAAATAAATGCAAAAATCACCAGGAATAACTGAGAGGACATGGTGATAGAAAATACAGTGACAAAAGAAAAAGCAGAGACCAAAATATTTGCAAGTGCTATACTTGGGATTCAAAATATAAAGGTACTTGTAAAAGCTCAGAAAACTTTGCAGGAGATCTGCTGAATGCTTTAATGACAGTGACACATTGAGATGAAATGACCAACAGTGTTCTGTTTGCGATCATACAAACTGTAACCCATCTTCAAGGCCCGAGTAGAGTTCTAGCTTCTCCTTAAAGCTTTCCCCTTTTACTTTACCTGTCCATTCCATTTTCCTATAAATTTCTACAGCTCATAAGAGCTTGTCTCATATAGTATGCAACAATAGGTACCTGCTGTTTTTTCATTTATTATTAGCTATGTCTTTTAAAGTAAATGGAAAATTTCTCAATGGGAAAGCTCTATATGCCCCCTAATATCACATATACTATAGTAAGGAAATGAGCAGTCTTTGATTCCTACACCAATAAATCTACTTTGTTTTTAAAAATGTGGGACAAAAATTGTAGTCCTTAATAATCAGCTTTCCCATTCTTCCTTTTAGTAATAAAGACCTCTGAGTATTATGCAGAAGCATAACTACCCATACAGACTAGTATTTCCCAGCCTCCCCGGCAGCAAAGTACAATCACACAACCAAGTTCTGGCCAACAGAATGTGAGCGGAAGTTATATGTTTTGCTATTAACCAAACTGGCCCTGTGTTCTCCTGGCCCCCTTCCCCTTTCCTATTAGCTTTGAGAAATGAACCTGCTACCATGGAGACAGAATCAAAAGCCCCATGTTGAAGGTGACAGTGTTACTCTATTTACAATGGAGAGTTTATCTCCACTGC